CCACCATCTGCACCACCACCATCAGCACCACCATCATCAGCACCACCACCATCAGCACCACCACCATCAGCACCACCACCACCACCATCAGCACCACCACCAGCCCCATCATCATCATCAGCACCACCACCACCATCAGTACCACCACCATCAGCACCACCACCATCAGCACCACCACCATCATCAGCACCACCACCATCAGCACCACCACCATCATCATAAGCACCACCACCACCATCAGCACCACCACCATCAGCACCACCACCACCATCAGCACCACCACCATCATCAGCACCACTACCACCATCAGCACCACCACCATCATCAGCACCACCACCATCATCAGCACCACCACCACCATCAGCACCACCACCACCATTAGCACTACCACCATCAGCACCATCACCATCAGCACCACCACCATCAGCACCACCACCATCATCAGCACCACCACCATCAGCACCACCACCATCAGCACCACCACCACTATCAGCACCATCAGCACCACCATCACCACCATCACCACCACCAACAGCACCATCATCACCACCACCAACAGCACCATCATCACCACCACCAACAGCACCATCACCACCACCACCACCAACAGCACCATCATCATCAGCACCACCACCATCAGCACCACCACCACCAACAGCACCATCAGCACCACCACCATCTGCAGCCTCGCGGTGTCGACGCGCAGGCGGTTTGTGTGACGTTGCGTTCCGGGTGGTTTATCCGACATTCGACCAAGGTGGCCCTAAGAACGGCTTATAAATAACGATCTATTTAACAACTATCTATTTAACAACTATCTATTGAATAACTATTTATTTAATAACTAACTATTTAACAACTATCTATTGAACGACTATCTATTGAATAACTATTTATTTAATAACTACCTATTTAACGACTATCTATTTAACGACTATCTATTGAATAACTATTTATTTAATAACTACCTATTTAACAACTATCTATTGAACAACTATCTATTGAATAACTATTTATTTAATAACTAACTATTTAACAACTATCTATTTAACGACTATCTATTGAATAACTATTTATTTAATAACTACCTATTTAACGACTATCTATTTAACGACTATCTATTTAATAAACATCTATTTAATAACTATCTATTTAATAACTATCTATTTCATAACGATCTCCCCTTCTTGTCCCCCGACATGGGAATCTCCGGGGTCTGTATGTGTGGGGAGGGGGGGTAGACGGGGTAGAGATAGACGCTTGGAGGCAAAATCCGCCGGATCTGAATTGAATTCGCATTTCCTGGATCGACGTCGCATGCAAACGTGGCTCGGATTGAGTCCACTTCCCGTGAGATCGAATCGCCGGCGCCTGTGACCGAACCGGGGTCGGGCTTGACGGGGATCGACGCGCGCCGGGGTCGCCTGGGGTGTAAGCAAGATCGAAGCGGCCGTCTTCGGGGAACATCGAATGGCCCGGGGTGTGAGGTCGGATCTTTGTGGATTCGCGACGGGAGTGAATCGCGAGGATTGAATATCACGTGCCCTGTGTGCATCACGTGGCCTGTGGCATCACGTGACCTGTGACATCACCTGGACTGTGGCATCAAGTGGCCTGTGGCATCACGTGGCCTGTGTGCATCACGTGGCCTGTGTGGCATCACGTGGCCTGTGTGGCATCACGTGGCCTGTGTGGCATCACGTGGCCTGTGACATCACGTGGCTTGTGGCATCACGTGGCCTGTGTGCATCACGTGGCCTGTGTGCATCACCTGACCCGTGACATCACGCGGCCCGTGGCATCACGTGGCCTGTGACATCACCTGGCTTGTGTGCATCACGTGGCCTGTGACATCACCTGGCCTTTGTGACATCACCTGGCCTGTGTGACATCACGTGGCCTGTGACATCACCTGACCTGTGACATCACCTGACCTGTGACATCACGTGGCCTGTGTGCATCACGTGGCCTGTGACATCACCTGGTCTATGACATCACCTAGCGTATGACATCACGTGGCCTGTGACATCACGTGGCCTGTGTGCATCACGTGGCCTGTGTGCATCACGTGGCCTGTGACATCACCTGGCCTGTGACATCACGTGGCCTGTGACATCACCTAGCCTGTGTGACATCACGTGGCCTGTGACATCACCTGGCCTTTGTGACATCACGTGGCCTGTGACATCACCTGGCCTTTGTGACATCACGTGGCCTGTGACATCACCTGGCCTGTGACATCACGTGGCCTGTGGCATCACGTGGCCTGTGACATCATCTGGCCTGTGACATCACGTGGCCTGTGGCATCACGTGGCCTGTGACATCACGTGGCCTGTGTGACATCACGTGGCCTGTGACATCACGTGGCCTGTGTGCATCACGTGGTCTGTGACATCACCTGACCTGTGACATCACCTGACCTGTGACATCACGTGGCCTGTGACATCACCTGGTCTGTGATATCACGTGGCCTGTGTGCATCACGTGGCCTGTGACATCACGTGGCCTGTGACATCACGTGACCTGTGTGCATCACGTGGCCTGTGTGGTATCACGTGGCCTGTGACATCACGTGGCCTGTGACATCACGTGGCCTGTGACATCACGTGGCCTGTGACATCACGTGGCCTGTGACATCACGTGGCCTGTGACATCACCTGGCCTGTGACATCACCTGGACTGTGACATCACCTGGACTGTGACATCACGTGGCCTGTGGCATCACGTGGCCTGTGGCATCACCTGACCTGTGACATCACGTGGCCTGTGACATCACGTGGCCTGTGACATCACGTGGCCTGTGGCATCACGTGGCCTGTGACATCACCTGACCTGTGACATCACGTGGTCTGTGACATCACCTGGCCTGTGGCATCACGTGGCCTGTGACATCACGTGGCCTGTGTGCATCACGTGGCCTGTGACATCACGTGGCCTGTGTGCATCACGTGACCTGTGACATCACGTGACCTGTGACATCACGTGGCCTGTGGCATCACGTGGCCTGTGACATCACGTGGCCTGTGTGCATCACGTGACCTGTGACATCATGTGGCCTGTGGCATCACGTGGCCTGTGTGCATCACGTGACCTGTGACATCACCTGGACTGTGACATCACGTGGCCTGTGTGCATCACGTGACCTGTGACATCACGTGGCTTGTGACATCACCTGGCCTGTGTGCATCACGTGACCTGTGACATCACGTGGCCTGTGACATCACGTGGCCTGTGGCATCACGTGGACTGTGGCATCACGTGGCCTGTGACATCACGTGGCCTGTGACATCACGTGACCTGTGACATCACGTGGCCTGTGACATCACCTGGCCTGTGTGCATCACCTGACCTGTGACATCACGTGGCCTGTGACATCACCTGGCTTGTGTGCATCACGTGGCCTGTGTGGCATCACGTGGCGTGTGACATCACGTGGCCTGTGACATCACCTGACCGTACCTGGACTCAAACTGGACGTTTAATCTCGACGTGCCGATCCACTTTTGACGACCGCCGGCTCTTCTCTGGGGCTGAGCCACCCACGCACGGCCTTTGATTCGGATTCATTCACCGTCGCACAGATCCAATCGCCCGCCGTGAAGATTGCATTGGAGCCGGTTCCCACGCGGACCGCGCGGCGCGCCGAGGCGTTCCCCGTGACCCTGGTCAGCTGTGCGTCGTCGCCTCGACGCTGAAACCCACCGCCGGAAACAGTTGGAATTTTTTTTAGGAAAAACCTTCCCGTGGAGAAGAGATTGCGAGACGGAGAGAGAGAGAGAGAGCGCAGCCTTGAATATCCACACTTCAACAGCAGCATCGGCGTCAGCAGCAGCATCAGCATCAACAGGAGCAACTGCACCAGCAGGAGCAGCATTAGTATCAACAGCAGCAGCAGCAGTATCAGCATCAACAGGAGCAACTGCACCATCAGGAGCAGCAGCAGTATCAACAGCAGCAGCGGCAAGAACAGCACCACTCGCACCAAAGGCAAACATCCCCCCCCCCCCGTATAGCTTGTAACAGAGTGTTGGGACAAGTGCCGTTGGCAAGCAGCACCTGCCAAGGCCGGCGCTGTGGCACGCGAGGGAGCGGTGGTGGCAAGCACCACGCCCGGCCGCCTTTGTCTCCCACCACCACCACCACCACCGGTGCCACAGCAGCAGCACCAGCGGCAGCAACGGAACAGGATCGCGTTGGCGCGGCCGACGCTGCGGGTCGTCCTACTTGCTCCGCCGTCTCGATTGCACGACGTCCACCCCCCCTCTCCCCCCACAACCCCCCACCGCGTCCCCCGCGCCGCCACCACTGCTCTGTGTCATCGGTGAAGAGGGCGGCAAGCGGCGAGCGGCTGGCGGCTGTCGCGGCCGGACGGTGGTAAAAAAAAAACATAAAATTCGCGGACAAAGTTCAAGGCCGGTGACGTCGGCATCGGTGGTGTCAGCGGCACGGCCGTCATCGTCGTCGGGGGTCACCGCCGGGGCCGTCGTCGCTCCGTGCCGGCGTCGGTGGCCGCGCCGCCGCGCCTACGCCGGTGTTGGCGCCGGGTGTCGCCGCTGGTGCCCGCGCCGGTGCGAGTGCCTTCGCCGCTGCCGGGGTGAGAAGACCGGCGACGGCTTCGTCGTCGGTGTCGTTGGCCGCCGCTATCGTCACTCGGTGTCGTCATCGCGGGCTAGAGGTGACCGCCGGCCGTAGTGTCCGTCCGGGGCCCGTGGACCGAGCCCCCACGGGGCGAGGAGCGGCAGCAGGCGAGGAGAAGGAGGAGGAAGGGCGGAGAAAGGAGCAGAACAAAGAAGAGGAGGAGGAAGAAGAAGAACGGAGAAGAGGAGGAGAAGAGTAGAGGGGAGCAGCACGAAGACGACAAAGCGGACGACTGCGGTGAAGAGGTGACGAGTAGGAGGAGGGTGCTGGTGGTGGTGGGCTAGCCGGTAGAGGTGCAGCCGGTAGTGGTGCAGGAGACGGAGGACGAGGAGGACGAGGTGCGGGTGAGTCCATGGTGCCATGGGTTGCGCCCCGAGCATCCACGTGTCGCACAGCGGGGTGCTGTACTGCCGCGACTCGGACGACTCCACGTCCCCGCGCGCCACGGCCACCGCCACGGCCTCCTCGCAGGCCGCGCCCTCGGCGCCCGCCGCCGACGGCGCGGCCTCGCCGCCCGCCGCAGCGGCCTCGCCCGCCGGGCCGTGCGCCGTCGCGTTTGCCGGGACCCGCGCGCCGTGGGAGGCCGCCCAAGGAGTCGGGGTCGGCGCGACGGCGATGGCGGTGGCAGGAGGAGGAGGAGCGGGGGGCGACACGGATGAAGGTGGCGGCGACGATGGAGGAGGAGGAGGTTGCGGAGGAGGTGGAGGCGGCGGGGGGGGCGGCAGCACGGAGGCCGAAACTCAGACGAGCAGAGCGAGCGGCAAGGTGAGCGAAGCCGGCGGCGGCCTCTGGCTCTGGCTCGGCGAGCTCCGATCTGGGCGCGGGGTGGTCCTGGATCGATGAGTTTCGGCGACTTGAATTTGAATCTCGGACGAGTTCCGGCTTCCACGGCGTCTTGTTTTGTTGTCCCTGGGGGTCTGAGTCGTCTGGGGGTCTGAGTCGTCTGGGGTTCTGAGTCTGGGGGTATGAGTCTGGGCGTCTGAGTCGTCTGGGGGTCTGAATCTGGGGGTCTGAATCTGGGGGTCTGGGGTTGTGTGTAAGGTAGCCCTCGTTCCCTTGCGGACATCGTGACGGAGTCTTGGTCTGGCCTCGTTGATTTTCAACAAGTGTAGAGTGGTCCTCAATCTGCCTTGGTGAGTTTCTTGCACCCTTGGTCTGGCTCATTGAGTGTCTGGTGTCGTTAAGGTCGCTTGGTCTGGCTCATTGAGTGGCTGGTGTCGTTAAGGCCGCTTGGTCTGGCTCATTGAGTGTCTGGTATTGTTAAGGCCGCTTGGTCTGGCTCATTGAGTGTCTGGTGTCGTTAAGTTCCCTTGGTCTGGCTCATTGAGTGTCTGGTGTCGTTAAGGTCGCTTGGTCTGGCTCATTGAGTGTCTGGTGTCGTTAAGGTCGCTTGGTCTGGCTCATTGAGTGTCTGGTATTGTTAAGGCCGCTTGGTCTGGCTCATTGAGTGTCTGGTGTCGTTAAGGCCGCTTGGTCTGGCTCATTGAGTGTCTGGTGTCGTTAAGTTCCCGTGGTCTGGCTCAATGAGTTTGATAAGGGTCAGTAGTCCTCTCATTGGTGATGTGCCAGCGATCTGTTAGGGTTTGAGTCGGGGTTGGGTGAAGGTTATGAAGATGTGCTGATTGGGACGACCACCAACAAAAATGCTGGTGTGTGTGTGTGTACGTAGTGTGTGTACGTAGTGTATGTGTGTGTGTACATCGTGTGTGTTTAGGTACATAGTGTGTGTTTAGGTACGTAGTGTGTGTGCACATAGAGTCTGTGTGCGCGATTGTATTGGGGAGCGGTAGTTGTAGCGGTTAGCGCGCTGCGCTACGAACACCACCACCCAAGTCTTGTTCACGGCCAACACCAGTGACGATTATCTGAACTGGTCCTCAAATGAGTACCTGGTGCGATGTGTAAACATCGCCACTGGGGAGACAAAGGCAGCCGGGTGTGGTGCTGGCCACCCCCACTTCCGTACCGGTCTTCATTGGTGCTCGCTAACAGCATTTTCCCTGACACTCTGTTAAGGCGAGATGTTTACTACCTCGCCTGGTATGCAGGAGGTCGTGGGTTCGATCCTGACCCCCGATGCCTGCTGTATATTTGGAGTTTGCGTCTCTCTCTCATCATCATCATCATCACGGTGGCTAGGAGATGTTAACTACCTCGCCTGGTATGCAGGAGGTCGTGGGTTCGATCCTGAGCCTGACGCCTGCTGTATATTTGGAGTTTGCATGTCTCTCTCTCTCTCATTATGACGGTGGCTAGGATATGTTAACTACCTCGCCTGGTATACAGGAGGTCGTGGGTTCGATCCTGACCCCCGATGCCTGCTGCTGTATATTTGGAGTTTGCGTGTCTCTCTCTCCCTGTGGTGTCGTGGATTTTTCTCCGGGTCCTCGTGTTTTTCCCCTCCGCATTTAGAATCGACGTCAAGCGTTTAGAGTTATTTGGCATCTCTAAGTTTCCAAGTGACGACGATGATGATGCCGCTTCGTTGAGGTATCAGTTGTGATTGGCCAGGTCGCTTCTCAAATCGAGCTATACGCAGCTCGGTGGACCTTAGCTGGTACAAGTAAACCCGTAAAAACAAAGTTTTTCACTATAAATCCTTCATATGCGTGGCGGCTAGAGTCCTCTCGTCCTCTGGCTTGAGATGGCTGCCACCTATCGGTCAGATGATTGTCTGCCAGTATTAAGCAATTGGTAATTAAATATTTAATTTGTTTTCCCTAAACAGTTTAAAATTTTGGAAAACATTTTTCACGAACATTAATTGTCTCGCACAACGAGTCTGTGTGCAAAATGTCAGCTCGATTGGATCACGGGAAGTGGGTTAAAAAACGACCGAAAGATTTGCACGGTCGTAAGCAAGCAAGCAAGCACGCAAGCACGCAAGCACGCAAGCAAGCAAGCGAACTTAATATAAAGGATTTAAAAATTAAAAAATTGTTCAAATCAGCTAGTGAGGTATGGTGTGGGGGAGCGGTGGCGCAGCGGTTTGCACGCCGCCCTCCGACCCCGTCGGCCCGAGTTCGATTCCCGCTTGCCGGCCAACACCGGTGACGGTGATTTGAATCGGTCCTGAGCCTCGCCGTGGAAACGTCGCCACTGGTTCTGGCACAAACCCACTACCCCTTGGCGTGCCGTGCCGGCTGTAATGGGTACTGCTCAATCACAGCACTTGCCCCTGCCCCCCCCGACCCGAATGGGAGTGGGGTAAAGTGTTGGTAATCTCACCTCCATGCGGTGCGGTGCGGGGCGAGCAGTTGCAGGGCTGCTCCTTTGCCTCGTCAGGGGTGTGTGTGTGGTGGGTTTTGTGTGTGTGTGTGTGTGCTGGGTTTTGTGTGTGTGTGTGGTGGGTTTTGTGTGTGTGTGTGTGCTGGGTTTTGTGTGTGTGTGTGTGGTGGGTTTTGTGTGTGTGTGTGTGGTGGGTTTTGTGTGTGTGTGTGTTGTGTTGTGTGGTGGTTTGTGTTGTGGTGTGTGGTGGGTTTTGTTGTGTGTGTGTGCTGGGTTTTGTGTGTGGTGGGTTTTGGGTGTGTGTGTGTGTGTGGTGGGTTATGTGTGTGTGTGTGTGGCTGGGTTTGTGTGTGTGTGTGTGCTGGGTTTTGTGTGTGTGTGTGTGGTGGGTTTGTGTGTGTGTGTGTGGTGGGTTTTGTGTGTGTGTGTGTGGTGGGTTTGTGTGTGGTGTGTGGTGGGTTTTGGTGTGTGTGTGTGTTGGGTTTTGTGTGTGTGGTGGGTTTGTGTGTGTGTGTGTGTGGTGGGTTTTGTGTGTGTGTGTGTGGTGGGTTTTGTGTGTGTGGTGGGTTTTGTGTGTGTGTGTGTGTGGTGGGTTTTGTAGTGTGTGTGGTGTGCTGGGTTTTGTTGTGTGTGTGTGTGTGCTGGGTTTTGTGGTGTGTGTGTGTGTTGGGTTTTGTGTGTGTGTGTGTGGTGGGTTTTGTGTGTGCTTGTGTGGTGGGTTTTGTGCTGTGTGGTGGGTTTTTGTGTGTGGTGTGTGTGTGTTGGGTTTTGTGTGTGTGGTGTGTGTGGTTGGGTTTGTGTGTGGGTGGTTTGTGTGGGTGTGTGTGTGGTGGGTTTGTGGGTTGTGTGGCTGGGTTTGTGTGTGTGTGTGTGTGCTGGGTTTTTGTGGGTGTGTGTGGTGGGTCTTGTGTGTGTGTGTGGTGGGTTTTGTGTGTGCGTGTGTGTGGGGAGTTTTTGTGTGTGTGTGGTGGGTTTGTGTGTGTGTGTGTGTGCTGGGGTTTTGTGTGTGTGTGGGTGGGATTTTTGTGTGGTTGTGTGGTGGGTTTGTGTGTGCGTGTGTGTGGTGGGTTTTGTGTGTGTGTGTGTGGTGGGTTTTTGTGTGTGTGTTGGCTGGGTTGTGTGGTGTGTGTGGTGGTGGGGTTTTGTGTGTGTGTGTGGTGGGGTTTTGTGTGTGTGTAGTGTGGTGGTGGGTTTGTGTGTGTGTGTGTGTTGGGTTTTGTGTGTGTGTGTGTGTGTGTGGGGGTTTGGTGGTGTGTGGTGGGTTTTGTGTGTGTGGGTGTGTGTGGTGGGTTTTGTGTGTGTGTGTGGTGGGTTTGTGTGTGTGGTGGGTTTTGGTGTGTGTGTGTGTGGCTGGGTTTGTGTGTGTGTGTGTGTGGTGCTGGTTTTGTGTGGTGTGTGGTGGTTTTGTGTGGTGTGGTGGGTTTTTGTGTGTTGTGTGGTGGTTTTGTGTGTGTGTGTGTGGTGGGTTTTGTGTGTGTGTGTGGTGGGTTTTGTGGTTGTGTGGTGGGTTTTTGTGTGTGGTGTGTGTGCTGGGTTGTGTGTGTGTGTGTAGTGCTGGGTTTTGTGTGTGTGTGTGGTGGGTTTTTGTTGGTGTGTGTGTTGTGGGTTTGTGTGTGGTGCGTGTGGTGTGGTGGGTTTTGTGTGTGTGTGTGGTGGGTTTTTGTGTGGGTGGTGGGTTTGTGTGTGTGGGTAGTGTGGTGGGTATGTGTGGTGTGTGCGGGTTTTGTGTGTGTGTGGTGCTGTGTTTTTGTGTGTGTGTGTGGTGGGTTTTGTGTGTGTGCGTGTGTGTGGTGGGTTTTGTGTGTGTGTGTGGTGGGTTTTGTGTGTGTGGTGGGTTTTGTGTGTGTGTGTGTGTGGTGGGTTTTGTGTGTGTGTGTGTGTGGGTGTGTGTGTGTGGTGGGTTTTGTGGGTGTGTCGGTGCTGGGTTGTGTTGTGGTGTGTGTGGGTTTGGTGTGTGTGTGGGGTTTGGTGTGTGTGTGTGGTGGGTTTGTGTGTGTGTGTGGTGGGTTGTGTGTGTGGGTGTGGCTGGGTTTTGTGTGTGTGTGTGTGGGTTTTGTGTGTGTGGTGTGTGGTGGGTTTTGTGTGGTGTGTGTGTGGTGGGTTTTGTGTGTGTGTGTGTGGTGGGTTTGTGTGTGTGTGTGTGTGTGCTGGGTTGTGTGTGTGGTGTGTGGGGGTTTGTGTGTGTGTGTGTGTGGTGGGTTTTGTGTGTGCGTGTGTGTGGTGGTGTTGTGTGTGTGTGGTGGGTTTTGGTGTGTGTGGTGTGGTGGGTTTTGTTTGGTGCGTGTGTGTGTGGGTTTTGTGTGTGTGTGTTGTGTGGTGGGTTTTGTGTGTGTTGTGTGTGGTGGGTTTTGTGTGTGCGTGTGTGTGGTGGGTTTTGTGTGTGTGTGTGTGGTGGGTTTTGTGATGTGTGTGTGTGTGGGTTTTGTGTGTGCGTGTGATGGTGGGTTGTGTGTGTGGTGTGTGGTGGGTTGTGTGTGTGTGTGTGTGGTGGTTTTGTTGTGTGGTGTTGTGGTGGGTTTTGTGTGTGTGTGTGTGTG